AGAGAAAAAGTACAAAGTCAAGAGAAAAGATCTTCAATTTCGGCATCAAATGCGGCATCAGCATCAGCAAGAAGACCGGTTTCAGGCCGAAGCTCCGTATTGGCAGCGAGGGTGGTTTCGGTCGGAACCACGGTTTCGGCTAGTTGTTCAATTGTTAGATCCTCCACCATGGGCTCCGACCGAACCACCTCATCGATGTTGACAACCGGAGTATCCTCAGAGGCAGAATCTTCATCAGAATCTGAGCCTTCAAGAAACTCCTGTTGCTTGGCATTCGCATACTCCAAGAGGGAGTTCGGTATGAAGTAGGCTGGAGGGTTGAAAATCTCGGTCTGGGGATCATGACCGAGTTGCTCAACGGCCCCCCTCCAGCCGCACTTAAAGAACAGATCTTTGGCGGCCTCACATTGCTTGGCATAAACATCTTCTGCCTTCTTGTAACCTTACTTGTACCCCTCCTTTTCGACTTCCTCCGCGCTCTTTTTTAGTTGAGTTATTTCGGTGTCTTTTCTCTTCTCAAGCTTCACCAACTCCTGCAAATACTTGTCTTTCATGGCGATGGCGGATTTCTACTTCTCCGCTTCAGCCGAATTAACCAGATCGGCAAGTCGGCCGTTCTCTGCTTGCATCTCGGCCAGTTTCTTTTCAGCTTTTTCTAGCTTGGCCACCTTTGCCTCGGCTTCCGTCATTGCCTGCCTTGTGGTTTTTCTAAGCTCTTGGACCTTCTTGTACGTAATGTTATTTTTTTGTAAGGCCTGACAGAACGAAGACTTTCCTTAAGCCGAAGTAAAAGTTTGAAAATTTAGAAAGAAGAAACGGACAGAGCTACTTACCAAAATCATGGACTTCGATGTAGACCGGATGGACTTCATCTCGGTGTTCAATTGCTTGAGGTGGTGCTCCATGTCCTTGGGGAGGCACACACTTTTGGCCAGATTAAAAGCCAATAGATGATCTTTTTCGGCAACAACCGAATCAGAAGCCTTGATGTCTCGGTCGTTGAAGGTTAGCTGGGGAGCCCATTTCGAAGATTCTGCTCGGTCAGTTTGCTCCGGTTGGAGGGTTGGTTGAGGACTTTGGGGGATGGATTCACCTCATCGACAAGTTGCTGTTCGGTCGATGTAGATCGGGCGCGTTTGGAAGGGCGAGATGAAGAAGGCTGCTGAGAAGGGAGGGCCACAACGGCAGGCTGCGTTTCTAAGGATGGTTGCACTTCTGCCCTGGTTGTTGCGGTCAGAAGGGCCCTCACTCTGCTTTTCTTCGCCATCTCTTCTTCAGCTGTTAGTGGGACAAGTCGTATTTCGGGCAAGTTTGGGTCCGGTTCAGGTGCTTCCTCTAGAAGGAAATCGGTCACTCGGGCTTTCCGACGACCGCTATATCTGTAGGTCGGCTCAAAGCTTAGAAACTTAGACCAACTTCTTTCCTTAATCCGTAGTGCGGCTCGAAGTATGTTCAGATTTGGGTAGCCGTAATAGGAGGCAAGATGAGCTAAGTCTGCAAAAAGGATACAACTGTTAGGTCGGTTATAACATCTGAAACCGAAGTACAAGAAAAAAAATATAAAACCGAGGTAAACTTTACCAGGTTCTCCTTTCTTCCAGTTAATACTTCGGTCTAGGATTTGGGCTTGGTGATCCTCAAAATTGCCCGATACCCAGAAGAAGTCATCATCATTAACATCCTTATCCGGTGTATCTTTTATTATCTTTTCTCTACGTCGGCGTATCCTAAGGTAATAAACCCAGCCATCATCTTTGGAACCTATGGAGTATTGGTGGAAGATTTCGGAATATTTCGGCTAAACCGAGGTTCAGGCCTGTTTGGCGGTTTAGCTCGGCGATACCCATTATTATCCGGTATGTATTGGTGGATAGCTGGGTTGGGCATAGTCTGGTTTGCCTAAGAAATTCACAAATTAAAGGCTGGACCAGGAACCTTAGTCCGGTTTCTATAATGGATAAAACAGTAAAGGGGACAAAGCCTTGGTTATTCCACGGAATGGTTTCCTTCCTGGCTAGGGTAAGGTGTACATCGTCTGGAATACCATAATCCTTTCGGAATTCGGCCATACCACCAGGGGTCTCTACCAAGTACCTATACTTACCCATTTGTATAATTTACCAATAAGTTATATCGGTGCAAAAATTGTGCCCAGTAGCTCGGTTGAGCGCACGCGGGAGTGCCTGGGTAACCTAAGTCTGCAAAGTAGAAAACAAAGCGGTTAAGCACAGATCATTGGACCGTGCTACAAATTAAAAACAAGGTAAATGAGCCCTATTTCGGCTTTCTGGGCTGGTTCTGTTTCGGTTCTGCACAATACTCGATAGTTCGGTTTGAACTTATTGTGCGCGAGATCGGTTTTCCTTTAGGGGTTTGTTATCTCGGTTCGAACAGTGGGTTTTTTGCTTCGGTTAAGCCACTAGGGGCAGCTTTCTGAGTTTGGTTTAGAAACTAAGAAAGCTGGCTTAGCCCCAAAGGCTTAGCTCAGTTGAAGACTAAGGTTCTTAGTTTAATGTATTCAGACTTCGTTCGGTGATCTTATTTCGGCTAAAGTGAATCAGGAGGTTATTTTTTGAAGCTACTGTCATCTCTATTAGTCCTAGTTCGGTTATTGACTAAAGTGATCTACCACTAGCACAAAAACAGTATCCTAGTTCGGTTGGGGCGAGATTTTGGATCTAAGACTAGTTTTCTACATAATAGTTCATACACACATGGAGTTCTGCTGGTTTTTTTCGTAAAAGTACAGAAGCAAAAGCAACAAATGGAAAAAAGTGTTTGCAAAAAGCATACAAAACAAAACTATACAGATGATAAAGCAGACAAAGAGCAAGAAGGATAGGCTTGCTTACCCGAATAAGAAAGAAGCTAGGAAATGGAGGCAATGGCAGCAATGGGGGCACGAACACAGCAAGCTCAAAACTCAGGGGCTCAGGAACAAGGGAGAGAAGAAGGTGAATGGTCCAAGAATGAAAAGAGTGTTTTGTGAAATGAGAGAGAGGGAAAAGAAAGGGGAAGAAGCGGGAACTGTTCAAAAATTGTGAAACACGAAGACGGCGTTGACAGCTACCTTCTACGAATGGGAGCATGCCACGTGTATACGGAAAGGGAAGCGTTACAGTCGTGATTGAAGAGACGTTTTGACCGGACAAAGTGAAGCCCGAAGTAAATTTAGCTCGGCTGAAGAGGCTAAAGGGTTTTTAGCTCGGTTGGAAAGGCTTAATAACTTCAGCTCGGTTGGACTGGTAATCCCAATCATGCTGTGCAGATGGAATTAAGGGGCAATTGAGAGGGTAATTTTTGGTAAAAATTGGGCCGAGCTATGAGATGGGCTTTGTGGCCCAAAGTGCCAAAGATTTGGTGAAAAGGCCGCAATGTTACTTCGGTCCGGAGAGGCAAGGCTACTCCGGCTTAAGAGAGATAAAGTTACTTCGGCATAGTGACTGTAAAATATACTTCGGTCCTAAGGCAACTTGGTGTTATACCGGTATTGGGGTTAGACCGGCCGAAAGTCGTTGGTTCGGTCTAAGACCGTACCATGGGTTCTACATGGAAAGCTGAGATAAGAAAGGGAAAACACAGGAACCGAGCTAAGGATGAGTTCGGTTTACTCGATGGCTCTGCATAGCCAAGCTTATTTCGGTCATATAGTAGTTCGGCCAGAGTAAAAACCATCCCACTTGGTTTAAGCAGTGGGGGAGGGTGTAAAAGGATAAGCATTATCCTTAGGAGTATGAATCCTAGGAGGACTCTGCATGGAGGAATAAAAGTCCTACTGGGATTGTGCCACTGGAAACTTATAAAAGCTCACAAACATCACCTTGGAGGAGGTAATTGAACACAATTTTTCTGAGAACTTAGAGCTTTGTCTATTTGTCAAGTTTTCTGACTTAGGCATCGGAGAGGTTTCCGGCACACACCCGCCGGCTAGCTCACGTTTGTGTTTTCAGGTGACAAAGCGACGTCGTACGGAGGAGCGTGGACTTGGTCAACAGGATTATACGAGGAGAATTATTTCTTCCCCGTACAGATATCAATATCTGATCAATGTGATTTTTTACAAAGATAAAATACTAAACTCTACACATTAAACAGTTCAAATTATCGAAATACGATCTGTGATGGACCCTACAAGCCCAATAACACCGTTTAGTCCACAAAGTGGCCTTCACAAGCTGCCCAGCGGCAAATAAAGCATAGACTTGGAAGGAAATCAACAAGTTAACAAGGGTATTTTTATAGGATAAAGCTTGGGAGCTCGAATTCCCTCCCCCGAATCCCCCGAAAATGGAAACAGAGGGAAAAGAGGGGGAAGGCAAGAGAGAGAGAGGAGAGGAGAGAGGGAAACAGAGAGAGAGAGAGGGAGAGAAGCTCCGCCGTCGCAGCAGCTCGGCCGATCGTCGGCCGATTGCAGCTCTCCATCGCAGCTCGGCCAAGCGTCGGCCGATCGCAACTCGTCGCAACAGCTCTCCACCGCGCCTCCGCCCCTGGTTGATGGCCCCTCCAGTCCAGTGCTTCTCTTTCCTCTTCTTCTTCTTCTTCTTCTTCTTTCCTTCCTTTTTCTTCGTCTTCTTCGTTTCTGATTCAACCCCTCCCAAAAAAAGGCAAAAACGACGTCGTTTTTGCCTTTAGGGGGATTCGGGGGGGACTGGTTCCGAGCTACGTAACATTACTCATTTTTATAATTCCATTTTGCATAATTTGTCAAAAAGTGAAAAAACAAGAAGGGTCTTGTGTGTAGATTCTAACAAGGATACTTATTGTCCAATATGTTTGGTGAGAATTAGTAAAATTTTTCATCAAATACTATTAAAAAATGTTACTAATTGTTAATTTTTAAACACAATTTAAAAAGTTTATTACAAAAAATATTACTAATTATAAGTTTTAGCGACAGTTTAAAAAAATCGGTGTAAAAAATGTCATTAATTTTTAACTTTCAGTGACCATTTAAAAAATTAATCACAAATAAATATCACTAATTATAAATTTTAGCGATAATCTATAAAAATTGTGATAAAAAAATTATTAATTATCAATTTTTAACAACATATTCAAAAAATGTCATAAAAAGCTTACATTTTAGCAATAATTTTATTAATGGGACACTTTTTCATAAATTCATTTTCATCTACTTATATTTCATTTAGTTCACATTATTTTCATATATTTTAATAAGTTCTATAGGTGAAATAATTATCAAAATACCCCTAATAATATTCACATTTACAGTGCGAATGTTTCGTGATGTGAATGTTCACACCATCAATGTGAATGTTAACATATCAATGTGAATATTTATATTGTCAATGTGAAAATTCATATTGTAAAATATGAATGTTCACATCACTAAAGTGCTAATCATTAAAAAAATATTTGTAAGGATAGAAATATCTATAAAATACCGTAAATATGAGAATTATGATTTGATAGAACAAATATTCAAATAATAGGATTTATTAAAAAATAAGAATATCTTATAAATTAATTGAGAAACAAATACTTGAAAAAAAAAATTCTAATAAATTTCCTTTTATTAAAACTTATTTTTAATAAAATTTGATAGAAATTAAGGATTGGTTTGGAATGGTTTAAATAAATACATTCTTTGACTTTTTATGAAATATAGGTTGAGTATAAGTTGGGTTTGAAGTGATGTGTTAGAGAGATGATGTGATTTAAATAAAATGATGTGACTTAAATAGGATAATAACTTTTTAATTTTTTTAGATCATGTCAAACAATGCCTAAATTTACCCATTAAGATCTACGACTAATTTATCCAAAATAAAAAACCAATGAATAAAACCAAAAAACTTTGGAAAAATTATATATATATATATATATATATTTTTTTTATTTTTCAATTTGGATTTGGTGCGTTGCGTACTACGATCTAAAAATCTACGATGGCTTCTTGATCTTAGTGCTCTTCGATTTTAGTTCCGATCGACACTTGTCTGTGTCTCCGCCATGGCCGCTCCTTTCTTCTCAACTCCTTTCCAACCTTATGTTTATCAGGTACTCTCTCCCTCTTAAAAACCCAAATTTTATAGCCAAAGTTAGGGTTTTCACTCACATTTTATTGTTGATCAGTTGTGATGCACATATACGTGTGTGTGTTTGTATATATACTTGGTTTCTCAGAAAAAGAACCAAAAAAAAAAAAAAGTTAGTTGGAAAAGTAGATTTTTTTGAAGAGATAAAACGTTAGTATGTTAAAGGTTGATTACAACTTAAAGCCTGTGTTGCTGATCCATCAGCTTGAACCCAGACCTTTCACTCATCGCACCGCGGCTACGTGTCACTGGGCCACAAGGGCCTCGCCTGGAAAATTAGAGTTTGAGTGCTAGTTTTTGTTATATTTGTTGGACGGGAGAGAGCAAAAGCTCCCAATCAAGTGATTTGATGGAGATGGCATTGAATTGTTATATGTTTGATGAAGTTATGAGTGAGTTTAGGTTTGTGGGTGAACTTAATTGTAGTAGATGCTGATAAACTTGCAGGTGTTCAAATGACAGTGGCAGGCAGGCATTTCAAAAATACTCGTCATTGGTACTTGAAACTGTCAAATACAGAATCATCATGCCTTGTTTTCTTTGAATGGAGCTTAATTAGTTATTTTATTTACTGAATTGGGTATAAAATTGGTAAATTGATTGGTGTAGTTCTTTGTAGATTTTTTTTTTAATTTTTTTTTAGAGGAGAGTAGAAAATGGAGGGGCAGGAAGTTTATTAAGGTTAAAAGATGTTCAAATAATGGAATAGAGAAAAAAGAGTAACATTTAATTTCATAGTTACACCGAGGTAGCTATTTTTCACTTAAAACACTGTTTTTTCACTGTTTGCAGCCCTAAACAGTGACCAAACCGTTGTTCCTATCTTCCCAAATTTCAATTGCAAAACCCATTCACCTTCTTATATCATCAAACCCAAAAATCCCAAATCCAATTTGGCGACTTAAATTGTAGAAATGCGTTTCCCTCACTTGTCCTAATAACTCCTTCTCTTCAACTTGTTGAGTTGGGTGACCTTGTGGGTGCACAGAATTTGGGTTACTAAACTTAATAGGCTACTCTTTTTGTGTGGCGTTCTTTATGTTCTTTCCTTTTATTATTTGTAAAATACTTGGAAAAAGAACAAATTATGTCCAAATTTGCCTAGGCTTGTCGTTTGTGGAAAGGTGGAGACTGGCTGTTGCTCCAGGCTTTAAGCCTTTTTCTCTTTTGGTTGTTTCTATTTCCACCTTATGGAGTATAATTGGAGAGGAGCACATTTTCTTGTCTTCCATCTCAAATTTTGAATTTTTCTTTTTAAATAGTCTGCACTAATCCTTGCTTCCCGCGTTATTTATCAAAACAAAAAATTCTGTAGTGTGGGTTATCTCACTGTGATAATGTATTGTAGAGTCCACAAGAAGCTATGATACCTTTCCAGATTTTGGGTGGAGAAGCTCAGATAGTTCAGGTATTAATAGTACTTGCTAAACCCCCCTTCCGCCTCTTTTAAAATCAAAGCAAAAACTCTTGCTTTTGTTTGTTTATATTTCTTATTTATTGTATTTTGGTGGTGTTGATCTCATTGCCAGATTATGTTGAAGCCACAAGAAAAAGTTATTGCAAAGCCTGGTAAGTTGATTTGACATGGGGTTTTTACATATGGGTTAATGTGATTTTTTTATTGATGTGTACATGGCTGCTCCCTCCTTGGAGCCACTACTACTTTACCCATTAAATGAAAAATTGATTGTGTTGTATCTGAAGAAGAATCAATTTTGGGTTTCAAGTCCTAGATCCTTTTTGTTTTTTAGTTCACATCTATATGACAATATTCAAATTATGTTTCTTATGTGTTGGGAAATAACAAGCCCATGTGATCATATTCCATATTCAATATTATTGTTGGTTTGTCTGAATGCCTTGAGGAATAGAGTTCTCTTCTACTCATTGATGCTAGTAATGCTTACATGTGGTGTAAGTTTTCATTGTCATGGGAGTGGCGTAGTTAAAATTTTTATCTGTAATCATGGTGATGCTTCTTTCCAAAAAGAGGAGTGTGACACTTGGGGATGTTATGGTGAAAAATGCCTGCATTTCTGCTTTGGGCAGAAGATGGGCAGCAGATTACTTATTGCACTTACTTCCATGGCCATCAACAATCCAGTCTTGGGACCTGGTTGACCTCAGGTCTCAGGGTGTGAGACTTGGAAGTTGGAGCGTGCGTGTGGTAGTTTCTTTACGTTGGATGGGAAGGACATTGATTGAGTTGGTGATCAATACTCTAGGCTATATTTGGTAAGCAGGAATTGGCTGAGTTAGGAATGATATACTAGTTAGTCTATAGGTTGACACTTGGGGAGCTTTCCAAGGATCAATAAATTCATACCAGAGGTTGCTGGTAGTGGAATATATTATGTCTGCTATTTTAAAGCTACCTGATACTGATTTCGGTGCATCCTCTTTTTTTACATTCTAAACCATTTTTTATTTATTTTTTCCACTGCAATGTGTGTGGAATTTGATTGGCCTGTAGGTTCCATGTGTTACATGTCTGGGTCCATACAAATGGAGAATGTTTACGTCCCCGAAAATGAAGCAGGTATGTGGCAGTGGCTATTTGGCAAGAGTATGACTAGCATAGTTCTTCTCAATACCGGTTCAAGTGATGGATTTGTCGGAATTGCTGCTCCTTCTTTAGCCAGAATTCTCCCGGTTTGTATCATGCCAAATTTTGGGTTATTAGTTTTTTTTTTTTTTGGTTCTAACTCTTGGCATTTGATCATGACTGTGAGTTCATCTCAGATGTCACAAACTGGTTTCTTTTTATGTTATTTAATTTGAATTATCTTATTTTTACTTATCAAAATTTATTTTGTAGATTGATTTAGCAATGTTTGGTGGTGAACTATTGTGCCAGGTACAGCTAATTTATTATCTATTTTTCTCTTGTTATGTTAAGAAATTATTTGAAATTCTCTTTCCCCGTGTTACTGTTGCCGCTTGGGATATTTTTCTTTTCTGTCAATGCTTTATCTCAATTCTGTTGAGATTTCTTCATGCATTTCTCTTAAATCTCAGTCCTTTAAATTCGTATCTGACTGATAATATTATTTTATAGCCAGATGCATTCCTTTGCTCCATCAACGATGTGAAAGTCACTAATACAGTAGATCTCAGGGCACGTAACATTGTTGCCGGTGCAGAGGTGAGATGACTACTTTGAAACTTTGTCCTTTTTGCTTAATTTCTGAGTCTTGAATCTTGATGATTATGCATATTTGGTTTCACTGTGATCATCCAGTTGACATACATGCTTATGCTGTTTATAGGGATTCTTGAGACAGAAACTATCTGGTCAGGGACTTGCATTCATAGTTGCTGGTGGATGTGGTAAGGTTCTTTTTTTAATTTAGTCACTACCTATTAAGTTGTGTAAGTTTTTCAGGAAGCATAAATCCTTCATTAGTCTAAATGCAACTCCAGACCAACCAAACAGTTGGTTTTGACTGGTGCTTGGCATAGTAATTTCTTTCTTTCTTTCTTTCTTTATTTCTCGCTTTTTTCCGTTCTGTTTCTTTGTTTCTTCTTATTCTTTGAGGCATTTCATAGACTGTAGACCTACCACAAGGACAAATTATATTTTACTTCAAATTTGGCATTTTCATGCTGATGCTTTGCATTAACTTCAACTTTGGTTTAAGTTCTTTTTTATACGGAACTTGTATTTTGAGTTATAACATGAATCTGACTCAGTAGTTTGAATCATCTCTGAACTTTAACAAAAAGAAAGGAAAGTTTGAATCACGTTTTAATCCAACCCTTCAAGGCAATAATCATGGGATGTCCATGTGACATTTTCTTTTCCATTCGGCTAGTTGCACAGAAAAATCTCGATGTGGGTGAAGTACTTGCTGTGGATGTTTCCTGCATTGTTGCCTTATCAGCAATGGTCAACGTTCAAGTCAAATACAATGGTCCCATGAGAAGGGTGGTCTTTGGGGTAATTAGCTTCCATTTATTTTATTTTATTAACATTTATATGCTGCTCTTTTATTTTTATTTCTTCTTGCTTGTTTGTTTCTTGGATTTGCACTCTTATATAGCTACTTTAATAAAAAAATGCATAGGCAGTTTTTGAAATAAATGTTTATTCATTTTAATTATAAATTGTAATTAGTTAAATAAGGATATAATCAACTGCCATCTTCAAATTTCTAATGATTTGAGTCATGACATACATCTTGATACTTTGTCCATGGGTTAGCAAAAAACAGAAGCAATCCTAGCAAAAGTTGAAACTCGATAGGCTTCCTCATACATCTTGGTACTTCACCTTGCATGAGTTAGGAGCTAAGAAGCATGGGTACTTCTAAGTTTGACAAAATGACTTGGGATACAATGATAAAAGAAAATGGGGACTTCTAGAGTTTCCTTCCTCTTTACCGTGTGAATCTCCCAGTCTCTTTTGACCTCTTCTGTTATTGATTGTTCTATACAACAACTTTAAACATTGGTGCCTTTGGTTGCTATTGATGTCTTGATTACTCTTTCCAACTGCCTGATTTTGCAAGCTTTCTTTTTCTTTTTCTTTTTCTTTTTCTTTTTTTTTTCCTGGAAAACTTGTGTCATTTAACTGTGGGTTTGAAATTGCAGGGTGACAATCTAGTGACAGCTATTTTAACAGGACCGGGCATCGTCTTCATTCAGAGTTTACCCTTTCATCGGCTTTCACAGCGCATTGCTAGGTAATTTCTCATAGTTGCATGAATGCCAGAAAATCAATGAAAACATAATCAGAAAATCAAATTCATTTTCTTCTAGGTATTGACAAAATAAGTGGCTTCTGGTTTGCAGGGCAGTAACATCTCCAACCATGAGGGACAATCCAAAGTTCTTTATTCAGATAGCCCTGTTCTTGTTCATTGCTTATGTCGTGATTGTATCGTCACTAATCTTGACTGATGTATGATTTGCTTCTTCTTCTTTTTGTTTATATATATTATTTGTGCTTTTTTTTTTTTTTTATAAATTATGTAGGGTCTTCTTACCTCTATTTCTAGTTGTAATGTTGCAGTTTTCCTTTTAATTACAAAAAATAAATAAATAGAAACATAGTGATGTACATTGTTTGATTGGAAACACTTGTGGTCTTGAAATTGTAAGAGACAATTCAGTTTCTTATTTCTACATTACTGATATGATCAATTATATATATATATATACATGACGTTTGTTGTGTATATCAATTTAAAAAAAAAATCATCTCCCACCAAAACTATGAAAACAAGTGAGTATTTACTACTTTCAAGTTCAACAAAATAAAAAATAAAAACTCAGTATCTATCATTTATATCGAAGTCTCACTTATATAAGAGGAGAGGAGGCTGCAAATTCAATCAAGTAGGCCTAAATTCGACAATTTTCTTCTTAATTGTTATTTACGTGTTCAATAAAGGAAATTTTGTTATTTAATCATGTTCAATAAAGGAAAATTTTCAATTTCCAAACTCAATTCCAGAGCTAGGTTTGGATCCACACACTTTCCTGAATCGGGTAACAATCCAAACCAAACACTATTTTTGATGGGGTAATTTTACTGGATGCAGAGTCACGGCTGTCTAAAGCACAGTGGTGATTGTTGTGCGGTTTGTGAAACTCATTTCGGATTTTATTTTGATGATTTAAATCGTTAAAATTTTAAGAAATATCGATAACAATATATTTGTAAAAAATCAAATTAATCAGACATTAGTAATTTGTTTATTAATTAACATCTTTATATAAAAAAAATAAATATTTATGTATTAAACTAAATATAAATATTATTTGATAAGGAAGTTATTAATATCCGATCAGTTTATTTTTTACAGATATATTATTCTCGATATTTTTTAAATTTTTAACTATTTGAATCACCAAAATATAACCCAAAATAAGCTTCACGGACTGTGCTTCACATACCGCAGTGTCACTAGATCCAATTTTACTTGAACATGCGTCGCTCACCATTGCACATGTCCATGCCACATGTTTTATTTAAAAAAATTATTTTAAACTTCTCATGCACTGAGAGTATGATGGAGTGATTTTTTTTTTTTGATACATCGGAAGTAAAACAGAAACAAGGAGGCTAAGCTCTCTCCCTCCCTAACTAAAGCAAATCTGCAGCCAGCAGCTCCCTAATCTCAGCAGGGGGTTCATGGACTACAAGGATATCTTCCGGTTGTTCCGCTCCCAGCTTTGCAAGAGCATCCGCACAAAGGTTGCCTTCACGATAGACATGTTGGGCAGTGCACTGGCAACCATTAAAGATGATTCTTGCGTCTTCCACCAGACCGCGGTAGGGTGGTTTCTCAGCAGGTCCTTCGACTAGCAGCTTCACAACTTCTTGGGCATCGGTCTCCACTATCACGTTGGTGAAGCCTTTTTGGAGAACAATTGTGAGGCCTTTATACACTGCCCATAACTCCGTTTCAAGACTAGTGCAGCTTTCCATCCTACCATAGTAGCCACATATCCAAGCTCCCCTCTCATACTGGATGAGGCCTCCAAATCCATTAGGACCCCTACTCCATTTGCTCCCATCGGTGTTCAGCTTCAGGGTACCTGTAGGAGGAAAGGACCATTTAATGAGTCTAAATGGAGTTCTAGGATTAATAATAGACATGCTAAATGCAAGATCAATTTCGGTGGAGTAGTCGAGGATGAACTTTAAACTTTCAAACGGGGTAACCAGTTTGCTTTCAAAACTTTTAAGGCTCCTATTTTTCCAGATTTTCCACAGTGTAACCAAGAATACAGTGCTCCAAGCGGATTTAGCACCAAATTTGGCCTTTGATTTGGAGTTGGAGAACAACCAATTCCTCCAAGGTTCATCAAGCATTTGTAGCTCTCTCCCTCCCTAACTCAAGCAAATCTGCAACCAACAGCTCCCTAATCTCAACAGGGGGTTCATGGACTACAAGGATATCTTCCGGTTGTTCCGCTCCCAGCTTTGCAAGAGCATCCGCACAAAGGTTGCCTTCACGATAGACATGTTGGGCAGTGCACTGGCAACCATTAAAGATGATTCTTGCGTCTTCCACCAGACCGCGGTAGGGGTGTTTCTCAGCAGGTCCTTCGACTAGCAGCTTCACAACTTCTTGGGCATCAGTCTCCACTATCACGTTGGTGAAGCCTTTTTGGAGATCGATTGTGAGGCCTTTATACACTGCCCATAAACTCCGTTTCAAGACTAGTGCAGCTTTCCATCCTACCATAGTAGCCACGTATCCAAGCTCCTCTCTCATACTGGATGAGGCCTCCAAATCCATTACGACCCCTACTCCATTTGCTCCCATCGGTGTTTAGCTTCAGGGTACCTGTAGGAGGAAAGGACCATTTAATGAGTCTAAATGGAGTTCTAGGATTAATAATTGACATGCTAAATGCAAGATCAATTTTAGTGGAGTAGTCAAGGATGAACTTTAAACTTTCAAACGGGGTAACCAGTTTGCTTTCAAAACTTTTATGGTTCCTATTTTTCCAGATTTTCCATAGTGTAACCAAGAATACAGTGCTCCAAGCGGATTTAGCACCAAATTTGGCCTTTGATTTGGAGTTGGAGAACAACAATTCCTCCAAGGTTCATCAAGCATTTGTAGGTACCAATGTTGATTCTGGATAGCAGTCCAAACTTCCTTGGCTTTGTGGCATGCACGAAAAAGATGGTTTAGATCTTCATTCTCACTGCAAAAAGGGCAACATGAATTATCTGATAATCCTCTTTTCAGTCTCATACTATTAGTAAGAAGCTTCCCATGTAGGATGGTCCACAAAAACCCTTTCAATTTTTATGGGAATTTCTTTTTCCATAGCCACTGCCAATCAGCCTCTTTTCCATCATAAACAGATGCAATGTCAAAGGCACTGGAAATAGAAAATGTACCATCTGGGGACCCTTTCCATACTGGATGGTCCAAGTTTGAACAATATTTAGGGGGTTGTTCTTTGAAAGTAGAAGCAGCCACCAATGGGGAAAAAAGTTGATTAATGAGAGCAACATCCCAATCACCTTCCATGTCAGTGATATCTTTTACCTTCTGAATAGAGAGATTGTGTGGGGGGAAAGAAGAAGATGATATTGAGGGCATGACTTCCTCAATAGGTTTCTCCCCACACTACTAATCTTTCCAAATATCAACATTAGTGCCATCACCAATGGATCATTTAGCACATTTTTTCAGAATACTTCTAGAATTCAGCATTCCTCTCCACACATGAGAGGGTTTACTTTTCTTCTTACAATTCATAAAAGAAGTGCCTTTCAAATATTTGGCTTTTAAAACCTCAGTCCACATACCTCCTTCATTTGAAATAACTTTCCATCCCAACTTAGCAAGAAGAGCTAGATTATGTTCTCTGGCCTTCCTAATGCCAAGACCACCATGTTTCCTATTTTTGCACGCCTCATTCCAATTAAGAAGATGAATTTTCCTTTTCTCTAGGGTATCACCCCAAAGAAAATTTCTATTCAGCTTGTCAATATGATAGCACACTCGTTTGGGTAACTCCATAGTTTGCATGGAGTAAGAAGGTACAACAAAGGTGACAGATTGAATAAGAGTTGCTCTTCCTACCATAGAGAGGGTATTCATTTTCCAACCAGCCAATTTAGACTGGAGTTTTTCAAAGATATAGTTAAAATGGTGCCTGGTCACCCTCTTATTCAAAAGGGGGACACCCAAGTAATTACCCAAATCATTAGTTAAAGGAGTTCTACACCAGGCACTGAGGTCACGAGCCTTACTAAGGTTAATATTAGGGGACACAAAGAGTTTAGATTTTTGGAGGTTAATTTTAGGCCCAGAAATGAAACTAAACTCAGTTAAAACATCAGTAATACCATCACAAGTTGTAGCATCAGCTTTAGCAAAGAGAAGTAAATCATCAGCAAAAAATAGGTGGGTGATACAAGGACCTCCTTTAGCAATAGAGATCCCTTTCCATCTCTTTTGCTCAGCCTTAAGACGTATCATATTAGACAGGCGTTCCATGCACAAAACAAAAAGGTAAGGAGAAAAAGGGTCACCTTGTCTTAGACCCTTCAAAGGCCTAAACTCCTCTAGGGCTTCACCATTCCATAAGACAGAGGTCTGAACTGAAGTTACACAGCACGTGATTAAATCCACCCAGTTCCCATTGAGGTTAAATTCATGGAGAGTTTTTTTGAGGAAATGCCACGAAATATTGTCATAGGCTTTTTCAAGATCAATTTTCAAAATCATGTTGCCCAGTTTACCTTTTTGGAGCCTTATAGAATGTAAGATTTCTTGGGTAATGATGATATTATCACTGGTATTTCTGCCAGGGAAAAAATTACTTTGGTTAGACCCCACAAGTTTATCGAGAAGAGGTCTGAGACGATCCACCAAAATTTTAGTGATGATTTTATAGGTAACATTACAGAGGCTAATGGGCCGAAAATGTTTAACCCTCTCAGGGTTGTCAATTTTTGGGATAAGAGCAATAAGGGTCTTATTCATCTCCTCAGGGATGTGATTGGTAAGGAAACAATGTTGGATGAAAGAACAAACACCAGGGCCAACAATATCCTAAACCTTATGAAAAAAGATAGCATGAAAACCATCTCTACCAGGGGCTTTGAAGGCTTTGGTGTTGTTGACAGCTTTCTTCACTTCCTCATTAGTAATATCTTTGGTCAGTTCAGTATTATCCAGATTGGATAGAGTGCAAGGAATAATATTACGCCAGTGATCCAAAGAATTAGTAATGGGATTACCAAACAGAGTTTTAAAATAAGTAACAACAAGGTTTCTAAGGTCAGAGGGATTGTCAATCCAGACACCATCATCATTCTGGAGGACCTCAATTCTAAGTTTCCTTCTCTTGATGAGAGTAGAGAGGTGAAAGAACTTAGTATTGCGGTTCCCTTGGACAATCCAGTTCTCTCTGGATTTCTGAAACCAGAGGAGTTCCTCCTGGTAAAGAGTTTGATTATACTGATCCACCAAATCTTTCTCAAGCATGTGAAGGTTATGGGTATAGACACATGATTGGGATTTTTGGATCCCTTCAATCCTTCCCAAAAGCCAATGCTTTCGTTTAAAAATATTACCAAACGTATCCTTATTCCAGAC